ATTAGTTTCAGTTAGCTCAACGGCACACTTAACTATTCCTGCTATATTATTTTAATTTATATTGGCATCAAAATGTCTATTCAACCCATGTTTCAGTACCAGTAAATCATTAGTAACCGCATTTTGCATATTGTCTCAATAACTGAAGGCACTTGAAAAACCGTATATTAAGGCAAATGGAAGCAGCCCCTTCGAGTCGCCAAGGTGAATGAAAAGCAAAAAGAGAATTTAGACATTGGTAGCAGCTAACAGGAGCTGTAACTATTTGGTGTTTAATAGGGGGTCAAGTGCTGCTATTCACCTGCCACCAGTCTGGATCTTTCGCGTTGACCACCTGCCAGACCTCTCCGGAGCGAATGCCCAGAGCCCGTTGAGGAGCCACCTGTTGGCTGTCTTTGGCCGGGTCGTAGTCGACCTGGGCTCGCACAAAGAGGCTTTGCAGAAGGCCGCTTGAAGGCATGCATAAATTAGCCCCACCAAGGTCTCCTGGGTTGCCAGAACAGGAGGTGGCATCAATGAGCGTGCCGGAGAGGAAGCGACGACGCAAAGCCAAGTCGGTCGGCGAAATAGGAATGCGCGCCTCAAGAAGCGGCAAGGGACCAGCCAGTCTCGGAGCCATCGAGAGGAGCTGGTGAGAGAAACGAGCCTCGAAAATGGCATACTCTGCAATGAGAAGTGCATGTGATAATGGAAACGCAATCCAATTGTTACAAGAGCTCATAAATGGACTTATGAACACATTGAAGAATAGGTACAGGCGAATGAGGTATTTAAGTAAATAAACTATAAAGAAAGAAATTGTCAACAGGAGACAGGCAGCAATGGCAGGAATAAGGCCTGCGAGGCACACTTTGTGGTCTGTAAAAGAATACTTAACAGATTGAAAATCGCAATTAAACGAGTGATCAACAAGCTTATGTTGGGGGTAGGTTGCCTGACTCAATTCGGGCGAATGCATATACATGCTCTAATTTGTCTTGTAATGAGGTTACACGAATACAATAAATGCATCCAAGGCATAGGTAAGTATGATAATACTCATCTTGAGGAGGATTTGCAGTAGATTTATCTAATTGTCCTTTCGACCCTATTTTTTTCTGTTCAATATATGCAATTCCTCTCCATCTCTCTTTCTCTTTCCACATATAAAAAAAAAAATATATATATATATATATACATAATATATATTAATTGAACGAGAAAAATTAGTTGGCAACAAATATGATGCTTATATTTAAAGGAAATTGCAATTTTCGAAGCATAATCAATCAGCATATCGTAACAGAGATGAGTATAATGGCCGATAGAGATTAATTTGCCGGCCCACTAGCCCCCTGGATTATCTGATGGAAGGTTTCGAGTACCAATCTTGGTGTAGATGAGATCAAAGAAAAGTCGAAATAACTGTCCAGTTCGGATAAGAATGCCTTTTAGAGGTCAAAGATAATTAAGCGAAATTCAGTGGCCTCATGAGACCAGTAATTTTCATTGATTTCAAGTCAGCACTTATGTCACCTTAAATAATCTAGGATAGCCTGAGTTATCCTCCAAAAAATACCAATGATATGATTTCGTATGATATCAAATCATTATAGAAAAATTCGACTATCGGTCCTTAAACCCCTATAAACGATCTAGAATAAGCAAATGTATAATTCTGCCCAAATTAGCCCAAGTCATTTAGCTAGTGATCAGTTAAAAATGCTTGACCCTGAGAAAGTTAGACAAGTATAAGACTAAGAATGTAATTCAAACATAATAGGATTAGACATCAAGAAAGACTATATATGGAGACCATTAAAGGTAAGCCCTCTTTTTGGAGAGTTTAGTGTGACGTCATTATACCAACTGTAATCTTAATAGACATTAGTGTTAGGATAGCGTTAATGAGATTCTTCACCACTCCAAAAGCAGTGGTGGCACAACCGTTTGACAGAAAGTTAGTCGAGGAATTGAGTTTATTTGTCCTTTGACGAGTTGTAGCTTGGTGCTGAGAATGGCAATATTCACTCGTGATACCGGCAAAACGTCTGGGACCGAACCAAGTTCACGCTCCAACACTGGGAATTATCGTAACTACTATAGGAGAGGACCTTGGAGAAGATGCGTTCAACTAGGTCGATATGACAACACGACTAAGTTGTAAAAACTGGGTCAGACCACTTCTATCAAGGAAGCTACTTTAGGTAAAATAGGACAATTTTGCAAAAGGACCCTGACGATCATTGGTCTTGGTTACATTGAACATATTTGGCTGCATTCTAACTCACTTGTCCAAAATAAAAGTTTTGCTGACCTCGATGGATGAACTGCAAGAAACTGATTTGTCTAAGCTTGGTATAATGAATCTGTCCCAATCAGGAAAGAAAATAGGGCATGGGAATTAGATGCAAATCGAAGGAAGTATACTTTGATGTGTCCATAAAAAATGCGTAAGCAGAGATGGTATTGTCATCTGTTCCGCTGGCATGACTCGAGTCGTAATCAAAGCCTCTTCCATAACAAAAAAATGTAGAGGCCGACCGAATAGGCGATATATTTTTCGTATATGAATAGAGTTTCAAGTGGGCGATATATTATTTGGGGAGAGACAAAATACAAGCACTAATATGATCAAGTCGTTTTTCTTACATAGTAAAGTATGCTGCAATCAAAGTATTATACTAGTGAATTACGATTATAGCTTTAACCCTATATCACGCTTAACTATGAAAGTTAGCCTGATTGAATTCGAGTTGATGAAAGGATTCATTGGCAAACCCAGCCATGATTAAATTGCCAGGATCTAGATCTACTATACCATTATATCCAGCAATTTATTTAAGAAATTAGCATTAGTTAATAAAATCTATCCAAGCCTAGACAGCAGGTAAATACTGTAAAAAATCTTACAAGCCTTCTCTATTTGAGGCATGATTGACTGACATTTTTAGTAAGGCTATAATATTATTATTAACTTCAGAGGATAAAGTTTGAGGTCACGTAGTTGAGTTGCAAAAGATTTTGCTCTGCTCCTACTTAAAATGGATTACAAATTCTAATCCAACTAGCAAGAAGGAACTATGAAGTTAGAGAAGCAAAAAAATTATCTTGTTCCCGCTCTTGTGAACTTGATGCTTTTTAGGATAATATCATTTACTAAAGCATCCAAAATTAAATCGTTTAGAATTTTGGATATAATGAACGTGATAGAGATGAACTCATGGATACTTGATACAAGGAGATTCTTAATACTTTTATTTAAAGATTCTCCACACGCTTATAATGAAAAGCAGGCTTTTAGCAATCAAGCATAAGATAGAAGAAGAATTCCCATTAGATTCGCGTGTAGTAAATGACTTTTAGAAAGCCATACAGATAAATATAATCCATACACTTCACCCGGCCTTTGTTAAACTTTGACTTTTTTAATAACAGCGGTTTCAAGATTACTAACAAGGATTGTTTATAAGCGAAGAGACATTATCAGTGTGGTGGTGATGGTGGTTGATCTGCCCGTGGCTGATAAAGAAAACAAAGGCATTTGTTGTAATAGCGTTATTTTTCTATGCCAAAAGTGGAGCGTAGTTTCGACCTCGACTGGATCCAAAAAGAACTCTTCGTGGAATTCAAACTCAAGCAATATTTGTCAAAATGGGAACTAAA